GCAAGGAGAAGACTTAGGAGACTACTGTAAATCCTCGAGGTGACGGGGGCAGAGGATTACTATGTAGCTATTAAAAATGAAAAATACATTTAAAAAATTCAACATTTATCTAAATATGTAAGGTATCTGTATACCTTTAATAGACATTTTTTGCATACATCTGCAGAACAAAATGTATAGAAATAATACTTGACCAAGAAAATATCTATCATATGGCAAATATATGTTAGCCAAACACTGATATATAACAGTAAGTAAATGTTTACATACATACATATTCTTTGGAAAAATAACCAATGTCTCCTAAAAGCAAGGAAATCAAACTTACTCCAATTTTTAAAAATATTTAGGCAAATTCACTTAACTGTATCAATACACTTCTATTTTTAGTAGTTTAATTTAATGGAGATTTTTATTCAGTTCTTATTCTACTGAAGTGGCAATATTTTAAAAATCAACCACAACACAAAGTAATGCCAGATTTCTGATTAAATCATTTAAATTACTTTAAATAATAGGTTTTACACTATAATTTTAGGATGTTGCCTTGTAATATCAGGTAAATGTCTAACTTTGCCCTTGAAATACTTAACAAGGTAGTGTAACTAAATGCCTAGCAACTTCAGTTCTGAGCCTAATTTCACCTCATGGAATCTTCCCAGCAATCTCATAAAGCAGACAACACGCTCCAAATCATCAGATGAAAAAAATGACTAGCAGCAGTTAATGTGAGTATAGCTAGTAAACTGCTCTGTTAAAATTCAAATCTAGGTCTGTTTATCTCAGAGTCATGTGCTCTTTGAATCAAATCATATATCCCATCCCCAACTCCAAAGTTTTAGATAATTAGTATTTAACAATTACTGCTGTAGATAAGTGCAATAAAAGAGTTAGCAATTTTTAGGTTAAGTGTTGTAAGTAATACTAAAGAACTACATTCTTTGAACAATAACCACTGCAAAAGAATTAAAAAATAATTTAAAAATATTTCTAAGATTTAAATCACTGCATACCCCATACTTTGAATCTGTGCCTAACTAAGTAACACAACTGCTGGCAAGAAAGTGCAGGATTTTCAAACATGATTGTATTATGCTAAGGAAATGGAAGATTTTACTTCAAGAAAGTTTCTAGATGTTAATCTCTCTCTAGGTTCAGGCTACAGGCAGAATTAAATGGCAGGAACTCAATGACTTCCAGAAGTAATTTAATGCATGCTTTATATCCCATAACAATGACCTTCCTCTTCTCCACTTGTTACAAGAGTCTCCCTTCACCACCATACCAGCACACTGA